GGGTTTGTGGTTGGGGGATTAGCAGGCCCATTCGAGGGGAAGGTGATGGCTATCAGACTCGATTAGGCGCTTATCTATGATTCTATGGAGACGGGTGAAGAGGTAACAACGACAAGGCATGGGGTAGGTCGATGGGGGAAGAACGATCGGGGACGGGATAGCTCGATGGGCAATGGGAAGGCAATTTCTATCAGACTCCAGTAGACTCTGTCTACAATTCAATGAGCGAGGGCCATGGGGAGGAACGATGGCGGATGGGGTAGGTCGACGGGCGATGGGAGAGGGCGATGGGGGAGGGCCATGGGGGAGTGGGGAGGGCGAGGGTTTTGAGTGGCAAGGTCGACGGACAAGAAGGGGGATGGGGGAGGTCGAAGGGAGAGGGGGAAGGCAGATGGACGAGCGGGGAGGTGGACAGAAAAGGGGGTAGGTAGAGTACCAAGGCGGAGATGTAGACGGGCGAGGGGCGGGGGGGAGGAGGCTGAGCAATTATTTATTTGTTTTTCAAAAAGAGGAAGAGGGGGAGGAGAAGACCAAGAAGAAGAGGAGGAGAAGACCAAGAAGAGCAGGAGAAGACCAAGAAGAACAGGAGAAGAAGAAGAAGAGGAGGAGACGGCCAAGAAAAACAGGAGAAGACCAAGAAGAACAGGAGAAGAAGAAGAGGAAGACGAGGAAGAGGAGGAGGAGGAGGAGGATAAGGAGAAGAAGAAGAAGAAGAAGAAGAAGAAGAAGAAGAAGAAGAAGAAGAAGAAGAAGAAGAAGAAGAAGAAGAAAGAACAAGAAGAAGAAGAAGAAGAAGAAGAAGAAGAAGAAGACTGCTTCGTCTCGTGCGATGTCCGACTGTCTCCACACCATGACGCATCTTTTGAGGGGTGTGGGCGATGGTTGGCTTGGGTTGCGGGCGATGGCGTGGCTTCCGCGAAAGCACAGCTCGTTGGCGCAGGTCGACAACACGATTTGATGGCTGGTATGGACGTTTGACAGGGAGAGGTTGAACTGCTGATGAACAGGTGCAAGGGAGGTTACCACGTAGCCATCCTACACACTTCACATTGCGAGAGTTCAAATGAACTCACGCCCATCCTCCTGCAGCCTCGCAGAGACTGCCGCCAGCTAAAGAAAACAAAAACCAGGGCCAGTAGGCCCCGT